GGAGGAGGAAGGGAGGGGGAGGGGGAAAAAAGGAAAATGAGCTGATTCCGGGAACCCAAGAGGAAAGTGAATTTTGGAAATGATGAGGGCAACAAATGTATAGATGTGCTTTACACAATTGATCTATGTATTATGATGAATTGTATGAGCCCCAATAAATTGATTTTGAAAAAATTAGTAGAAGATGGGATCAAACAGCAGAATTTTATGTGAATGGATATACTGGATTGTGTAAGATATGACAAAAAAAAGAACCAAAACTATGACAGAAAAAGTAACAGAAGTAAACGCTCCTGGGTGGTGTGGTTGGGGAGGGAGAGGTAAAGGGGAACTGCTAACAAGGAGATCCACAAGGAAGAAATGATTTGAAGCTGATTGTGGTACAGTGTACAACACTGCTTGATGTGACTCAACTATGGAATGCTATATCTATAAGAGCTCCCAATAAAATTATTAAAATAAAATGAGAGCAATAGGAAAGGTGACTAATTTGTTACAAATTAAATCTGTAACTCTACCAAGGTATAAATATTTAACTGAAGCTTGATAAATGAAGATTGGCATATGCACTTTGTATGAAGACATTATGTAGATATAGGGAAAAAAAATCAAAAGAAATTTACAATGGTTAACTAGGAAGGAAGGACACTGTGATCTTACTTTATAGGACTCTTCATACTATTTTTTTCTAGCCATAAGTATGTAATGCTTTGATAAAACATTAAGTTAAAAAATAAAATTTAATTAAAATATTTTATCAAATTACCATACAGAAATACTTTAGCTTTTCTTGATTTTTTTGATGACTCTGCATTACTCCAGTAATTTTATGTCAGTGTATTTAGGATTCACATCCCCCCCCCCTGCTAATTTTTACTCTAGTCACGTGGACGACACAGCCTTACTTGGTGAAAGTGGTGACCTGTAGTTCTTGTTTATGAAGGTTAAGGATTGAGACCTTCAGTATGAATCATAACTCAATGTAAAGAAGACTCAAATCCTCACAACTGGACCAATAGGTAACAGCATGATAAATGGAGAAAAGGTTGAAGTTGTCAA